TGCTGCAGATCCTACACCAGAACGGCGGCTCCCCAGTCGTGTCCGTTCTCCTTTCCCTTCCTTTCCTTTCCGGTGCCTTTCGCTTGGTCTCACAAACCGCTCGTCGCAGCTTTTTGCGCCAGGTTGAGGATTCGACAAGCTTGGCCCAGTTGGGACTCAAACTCTCCCGCCCGCCTGAACACTTCACTTCTCACTACTCCAGCCAACCCATTGACAAATATATTAACGGCCGTGTCTCTCTGCTGCAATTCAATAAACTCGTCACTGCAGGTGATCATGATTTCAAAAAAGCTCCATCCTGGTAAAGCTCGAGCTCAGACCAGGGCAGGGCTGCCTGCAAGCACTTTACCAGGACTGGAGCGCTGGCAATCTCTCATCTCGAATGAAGTGCCGCATTCAGCAAATGTGGCTTGGAGGAGGGCTCTTCGGGAGGAAGCAAGGTCCGGGATTGAAATTACCTGTCCTGGTGCTATTGTCTTGTCTTGTCTTGTCTGACATGACACCCCCAACTGCAACAGTCAGCCAATCCCTCTTCATTCCCTCAACGGTCCCCTCCCCCACACTGACTCGGGGGGCCACGAAAGAGCCTCTGAGAGCATCGAGAACGTCATCGTGCTCCAAACTTGATTTTCGGGGTTCAAGAGCTCAACGAAAACGGAATTCTCGAAAGAGGGTTTCGGAAACTCATTGGGCAATCTATAGATTCATGTACTGTACGTACGCGCAACTCTACAAAATCCATCTGGTAGGTATCGAAAATCATTCGGGCATCGGGATCGATCATCTTTCCCTCTTGTCCTCCTCCACGCAACCCTTGTCCCTGCCCCCAGGCGTTCAGACCCAGTCGCCTCCACTCTCAGCGCTCCCCACTCGCCCGGAGCAGCACTCGAAGCGAGAGAGATGCGGCTGGGGGCTGGAAGGGACGGCATTGAATTGGGTCTCGACACACTGCACAACGAAGACGGCAGAGAACGACTGACTGCATATCTCTTTCGTGAATATATCAATCTGCCGCTGCAGCCCAGCATGCGCTGCTCGGCCCATGATGAATTTATGATGGCAGAAGAGCTGTGCTACGTGCGAGACGCAGCTCTTGCACGTCTGACAAAGAGGATTAAGGTCTCACTCCGGGCCAGCTGATTGGAGTTCTTGACGCAGTCTGTTGCTCCATGCATGCAAATGCACGCCGGCTTTCCGTAGTCTTATCGCGGAACCCACTGTAGCGCAGCCGTAGCCCAGTATCTCAAACACTTATCTTCTCACCGAGAGAAGGCGGTCAGAGAGTCAGTCAGTCAAAGAGAGCTCGCCTCAAAGCTATTTCCTTGTATGCCTTGCCTGACCGTTCGTCCAGCTGCCTGCCGTCATTTCATTCTAGATAGACAGCGCAGGCTGCTTGCTTCCCAGGCCTTTTCCCCTTCAGGCATCTGTTGCTTAGCTAGATGCAGCAAAGGAGCCATATGAGCCATCCATATACCAGAAATTCTGCCACGTGTAACATGTAAAACAGCCTACTGTAGCCGCCATCGCCGTCGTAGTCCCCCAGGCTCGGATACACAGAACTCTCGATCGGTGATCGTTGATCACTGAAGCTGATCCACGAAGCCAAGACCCAAGCGAGGCCTGGAGCCATGCTCGGTTGGTGTCGCGGCCACGGACAATCACACAAGCCAGATAGATTAAAGATAGCGCTCAGGAAAAAGTCCCCGTAGACCTGCCGTGCTACCGGCACTCACTGACATACTGCGTACATACGTACATACAATACAGGCAAGGCTGGCTTGAGACCATGCCTTGCATGCGTGTGCTCCTGTGCTCTCGGACAACAACCAGCCCTGGAATTGCAAACCAACACGCCTCCACAATTTGGAGCATCGTGCCACCCTGAGCGTCCTCATCATCCTGGCGCCGAGCACGTTATTACGCAGCGACCTGGCCCTTGCGCTCTTTCGGAGTGTTTCTCGCGGGCTCGACCCACGCTCATTTACGCCCCTGGCCCTGTCCAACACCACCAACCCCTCCCCCAGCCACTACAACTACACTACCTGATTGCGAGATGTGCTGCTGCCGCCGCCCCGAAACGAGAGAGGAGCCATAAATAACTCGAAACGGACAAGGAGCCGCTCGAATCTCGATCAATCAGCCTGCCAGCCTGCCAGCCCAAAGAGACTGCAATAGTAACGGCCGGTTATAACTGACAGAAGGAGAAAGCTCCTCGCGCGGGGCCTTCTGTTCTTCCTTCCCCCAGCTTCGTTCGGTTCCATATTTCTATCCTTGCCCTTCTCTCGAGCGCAACCCCAACGTTGCATTTGAATTGCGACGACACATCCTGCGATGTTTGATGAATCTTCAACACCGCCAGGACTACACGACGTGATGTCTGACAAAGCTGAGCGAGGTTTCGCCTCGGCCGCCCTGGAGATTAAAACGTTACCGGTACCGTTTCTGCCCAGACGAGCCGCACCTGCAGGCGCACGCTGTAATTGGCAGCACTGCGGGCGGAAGTGAAAAGACATCTGCCTTCAAGGCATGAATGTCAGAGATCCTCCAGCGGCCCTGAATGGCTCCCAGAGCTACCGGCAAAATGACCCTCAGACACAGCCGCTGAGCTGAAGACGGCGAGCGGCCGAGAAAACAGCTGAAAGTTCGGCTGGATTTCTTGTTAAATTACCCACGAACTGGTGGCGACGGACTCGCCTGCGTTTGGAGTTTCTGATTTCTTGCACGCCAAACCCGTAAAGGGCGCTCGATGGATGCATTTCATCTTCGGCGCAACTTCCCGGTAGGGGATGTGGAAAGCCTTCGTCCAGATACCCGTCCCGTTCTCAGGGTCCTTGGATCTACGGCGGAGAAGGGTTCGGGGTCGTGGCTGTTGAGGTATCGCAACCGGGAGCATGTGGAACGTCTTTCACCTTTGGGATCTCTCGCCGCTATGTGTGGCTCGGTCATCGAATGTTGACAGCAAATGACTCGTTTGTGAGGTCACCTTCGCATCCTACTTGTGTACATTTCCCAGAGCTGCCGCTGAGTTCACATGGCTGTGTTCTATGGACAACGTCAGGCTCAAGACTCCTCTGGTTCGCTTGCTCCTCCCTGGTACATATCTCGACTGTGCATACCCTGCGCCGTCAAAGCTATGTAATCCATTGCGAGTCATGTTAACAAGCGCCAATGACATGACTTGTCCCTTGAGACTAACATGGTTTATGTCACATTAGCTATGTGACATTTTGAAAAGGACTTTGATGGTATGCTCACTCTTACACGTATGTTACGACGCGCGCGGCATTGGAGTCTTGATGAGATCCAATGGTATGCCAATATTCAGCCAATGGCTCTTTAGTTCACATGAAGGTAAGGTCTCCCTCCTGGTAATCTAAAATTGCAGTGAAAGGCTGTTGGTCGCGGACCAGTCTGCCAGTCATTGTGATGGCTTTGCTTTTGTGGCTTCATTTACCCCTCATCCCTCGACTTGTCCCAGCCGTTCGACCTCCACACAATACGCAATGGAGAACTGCGATGAGAACGAGACACTTGTCGACCATTCACTCGTACCAGCATTGATGTGCCCTTATTGGTATTGCCTAATAGCGACTGCCAACTTGGTTGTAAACACTACGCCGATATGAGAGGCTTACTGGGCTACAAATGTCTCGTTCATTAATTCCATAGAACTAAGCGCACTTGTTCACATGCTACCCCTAGGCTAGCTCCTGATGTTTGTATTTCTCATGCTGTACCTGAATCTTGAATACATGATAAACATCTCTGCCCTTCGGTCAACTCATAAAGATTACAGGACGAGTATGAGACAGGCTCGGGCAATACTATATTCAATGAGCACTTCTGCAAACTGGACAAAATCCAATGTCAAGCGCGCCTTGGGACTATAAGCGGCAAGGGCGTTATCATAGCTCCGTGATCACTGTTATGAGTTCTCGATGCTCTATTGAGTCTTATGCTCACACTTGCATTTCAAAGTCCTGGACTGGAAGTGCCACTATCC